ATGCAGAAAACTGTGAAGCGCTTCGAGATGTTTCAACGTGATAAAGTGCATCAATTGTAAGGATTCTTATAATTTCAATCTTAGCTTAGGTTTTCAACCGAGACTATAAATAAATCCAATGCTGCCACCACTTCTCAAAAGCCGTGGATGAAGCCTTGAAATGTTAATCAGAAAAATACCATGCTTATTTGGTCAAAAAATGACTGTAAAATTCTTTCGATAAGTTCTGTGACTCATGCGGTCAGAGAGATAGCGCTTCATACCATACAGCCACTCATCAGATCAGGCGTGGCAACCACACTGTCCATCTCTTCTCAACAGTCCTATTCTCATTGTACAGCTCTATTTCAAATAACAATAGCAAGGACCTTCATGAAATTGAATATGGGTGTTGCTATGAGCGTACATAAATAGCATTTAATATTTTGATATCAACATGAAACCATTTTGATATTATTTTCAAGGATGCTCAGAGTGCCGGCATATTTGCAGTTAATCTTACAGCACGTACAATACATATTATGTACGGTTACATAGCACCTTTTATATCAGGTGGATGTCCCAAGGCACTGGGGCAGCATGGAAGTTTACCCCTCATACTCAATGGTGAGGAAGATATAGAGTTAAAGGCAATACTGCACTGCGCGCTACACCCTTCGCACCACTAGGTTATGTCATATTCAGAAATGATATTACATCGAATCCTAGGAGACTGTTCCCTTCATTTGTAAAATATGCTTAATTCCACCCACACACGCTTCCAAGATGTTCTGTGCATAATGTGCTGGGCACAAGAACCACAATTCATACGATTAAAATCATTTTCTAAAATTGGCTTCAACTGCTACTGTCTATTTTGGAGGCTAATCTTCCCGGTGACTCAAGCGCAACCTCATTAATTTAAGATAAAAGCTATATTCGAACTGTACCCCAGTGGAAAGAACAAGGGAGTCGGGCATCTTCAGGAAAGGAGAGAACTGAAAATTGCAGAGTCTCTTTTATCTCAAACAGCAGCGTCCCAGGTGGAATCCTGCAGTGTAGTGGTTAGAGCCCAAGCCTCGCTAGCGAGAGGACCCGAGTTTCATTCCCGAGCAGAGCGAAACCTTAGGCAAGTTTCCACACTCCGCACGTCTCTGGTTTACCCAGCAGTAAATAGGAACCTGGTTGTCAGTCGATTGGCGGATCGCTTTGCGGAGGTAATAATCCCACTCAAAACAAAACAATGTGGTTACTCAATCCACGACTATGTGGGACATTGCTGTATGCAATTGGCTGCCGCATTTTGCCCACAAAATACACAGTCAATCCATTTTACAATATAATCTATGAAGCGCTTTGAGATGTCTCAATGATGTGATAAGATGCTGTGTCAAATGCAACGATTATTATTATTAACTAGAAGAGGAAGACTGACAGGAAAAAGAGGTAGGGGAGAGAACCTCTACCATCAGAGAAAGAGAGGGAGAGAGAGAGAGAGAGAAAGCAAGGGAATGGAGAAAAACAACCTGAAAAATTCAAATCAAGCTAGATAATTGCTGGGAATGGAAAAACATTACGGCAGATTAAACGCCCACGTTCTATGCAGAACGCAGTCAAAAAAAAAAACAAGGGTACTAAATTAACGCTGTGATTAACATCCTTGAGTGTAGGATTACTGAACAGCAATGTCCTTACTTGTTCCTGCATTAGATCGCAGATGCTTCACGCGCTGTCACACTTATTAAGTGAAGTACTGTGAAGACACAGTTCTGCAGTCATTGAATTTGCCCTTTTCCACATGCTTCAACATTAAGAAGGTATTTGGCTCAGTTTTCTCATTCATGGTCTTTCAACATGTAGCACATCAACATCTGTCGCACAGGCAAGTGACATTCAAAACTTACGACTGGGGTAACGAGCAAAAATGGTTCTGTAGCAGATTTCTATGTTAAATCATCTGGGTGGAAGCCCAAAGCTTTGCATTATTGTGGCTGCTGCACATACGTGGGAGTATGTAGATTCCTGCGACTATGAAATAAATGCGTTTCAGTTCTGCTCGCAGCAGAAGTTTGAAAACGAGACACTGGAAAGGGACTGCGGGAAAAGTGGTGATGGTACAAATCTGAAGATAATATGGGGCTTAATTAGGAACAGGCGTTAAATCCTTAGCCACATCCATCGCAGTAACATGAAGTACAGCAGAACCCTGATACAACACGCCTTTGATTGCTTACTAGACATGTGTCATTGTCCCACTGACATCTCGCCCACTAAAACAAAAGGTTATCAGGTCACGGTCAACGTCACTTCCACTGTATTGCACGTGGTAAGAAGTGACCGTGCGCGAGGAGGATAGGCTTTGCACTGAGAGAGAGAGAGAGAGACAGCAGCATGTGCAACGAGCAGAAAGTGACTGGTGGCAACCAGGAAGTTGACTATTTATCAGTGTAGGAAGCTGGCCAGCTTTCTGCACGCACGCAGAGTAATGTCACCGGTTACGCGAGCAGTGATGTTCAGATGCGGAAGCACTGACCGGCGATTCCCTCCCCCTTAATAAAGTTGTTCCCCTCCCCCCCCCTCCCTCCAGTTGAACAGAGGTCTACTCCACTGAGTACATTATAGTGCCAAACATAGCCAAACACACATGCACCACACACACACAAAAAATACAGTCAATCCACTTTCCAGTATATCCTGTGAAGCACTTTGAGGCGTCTCGACAGCACTATACCAAATGCAAGGATTATTATTATCTATAATCTGTAGCCCTGTAAAGTGCAGGTACCATCTTTAGCAACCATTGTACAAACACGCACACTGAAATCTGCTACTGAAGACGAAAAAAGTTTGGGCAGCACTAGTTCGGCACCGACACACAATTCCCAATTCAGTGACAAGCCGCTACCTTTTTGTTGCACGTGCTTCTGTTCATTCACACAGTTATATTTTAGCAGCTGCCACCTCAACACAAACATGCTGAAAAGGTCTGCACTGCAGAATATTTGCGTGCACTCTTGGTGAAACACTCTCCTGTTGTGGGAAATCGATTATACGCCACAAGCTCCTGCATTCACAAATTCATTTTCCATGTTGGGGCAAACACAAAGGGCTTAAAAACTCTCTTAAGAAGTGCCTTAACTTCCCACGCATGTCAGAGACAACTGGGGACTAAAGAAAAATATTACCCTTGCATCTTGCAACCACTAACGTGCGGGAAGGGTGAGGGAGGCGAAGGAGAGAGAGAGAGAGAATCCAAACTAATAAATTGTTGCGTGCCAAGGTAACACAATTTTAGCGCTCGCAAGACAACAGAAACAGAAATCTACAGGGCAGAAGGAGGCCATTCAGTCCATTGAATCCACACTGGCTCACAAGATGACTGACAACAAATTACATTTGTATAGGGCCTTTCACGTCAGGAGGACGTCCCAATGCGCTGACATTCCTGGGTTGCATTCCCTTAATGCTACGTTCACTTTTTTAAAAAAATCAATTGGTACCTTCATATTTACTGAAAGTTTTAAATTAAGAGTTCGAACAGAAAGTGTAACCAGGCACCGCTGAGTTTCGACCAACAAGCAGACCACAAGAAGCCAGAAGCCAACTTTCACTGGTCAGATGAATACAGTATCCTCTCTCTGTGTGGGACGTTGGGAAAGTTCAATTGGAAACCAAATTATACTGCAGCTCTGTGCCAGTGAAAGGGTTACATAAACAACCCTGCTCTCTGCCTTGGCTTCCGCCAACAGATGGAAAGGTTGTCTCCCCCTTCGTCCTGGCATTCTCAAAATGCTAACAAATGCCAAGTATTTAACCTTTAAACCTTCCAGAAATTAGTGCACGCTTGACGCCCACATCAGCAGCAACACAAGTATTTAAAAGCTTTAGAGCTGAAAACCGGTATAATGAGCAATGCAGATGAAAAATACATGTGCTTCATGAAGATTGGTGCCTCAACCAACTAAATACTGCATTAAAGTTGGTAAGGAGTGAATTACAATAAACCTTACACAAGTTGTATCAGTTGTATACATTAAATTTGATTTATACAAAGTATGAGTTATGTCAAACTTGCGTAGAATATAAACACTTGGCAGATGTAGGACTTTGGTGATTTACGATTTATACAGATCAGACTTATGCAAGTTTTACTATAACTATTGTGTATTAGAAAACAGTCCACAAATACTGCTACATAGAGTACCAGGAAACAAATATTCCAGGGAACTCTTGCGTGGAACACATTGAAGCTGTTAATCCTGGTGCTGATTTTCCAAAATAGCAGAAATAGCCATGTCAGTCCATTTTTCCTTCACGAATAGTCACTGGTTGCGTTTAAAAAGAATGAATTGTTCAACTTGAAATATTTCAGAAAAAAAATCAGGAAAGGTTAACAGGCAGCCAATGAAATGTGAGACTGGGCAACAGTGAATTTTAAACTTATTGCCCTTTCACCTCTAAGTCCTGGCCTAGAGTCTAACCCAAAACACTGGGGCAAGGCAACTCTCTTTGTCTCTCGTCAGCTGTAAGGATGTTATTGCTAAATGAGTTCAGGCACTTTAAAACCAGCCTCTGACAGACTGACAGGGACCCACAACGCAAACCTGACTATCATTCAGCAGTAATAGTCGATCTGCATTGTAGAGTCAGCGCAAGAGTGGCTGGGGTGAGAGAGGTCACATTATTGCAGTGAGGCAGGGCAGATACATGTGTGCATGAAGACTGATTTTTATAGCAGATTAGAGATCTGTACATGGCCACACTATGAGTGACCTTGGTGCTGACATTGGTTGGAAAAGCGAAAACTAGAAGTATTTTGGGGTACAGCAAAAGGGAGGGCACTGGGTATAAAATATCTGCCTCTACTAAATGGGGGAACCGACTTAATGGACTGAAAGGCCTCCTGTTCCTGCATTTGGTATGTTCCTATTCTCCATCCTCCAGCACTGCCATTGCCCAATCTCGATGGGCACATCACCTCACCCACAAAATCAGAACGGACATACACAGAGAACACCAACCTGACCACAATGCTCAGCACATTCAGGTGACGAGGATCAGGGACGTGCGGCACAATGAAAACACCTGCAAAGAAGAGAAAGACAAATCAAGACCAAAAGGACAAATGAAACTCGCACACAAAAAAAAACCCAACTGGCATCCAGCTACAAAGCAATGTCATCGCGCTGGAATGTCTCAACCAACACGCCTTCTGGAAAAGAGCTTCTATCATATTAAATTCCGTACTGGCTGATGCGCAACACATGGAGGAAATACAAGCTCCAAAAACTGCTGGAAGCTGCCAATACTAAACAAAGACTTTTCAAAAAAAATCATGAAAAAAAAACAATCATCCACATCTGGTCAGCACTCGTGCAAGTGACAAGTCCAAGGCAATCGTGATAAACTGGCGATTTCTGTTTCCATTTCCTACCCCACGCTCTGTTCATCCCAAGAAAACTAATACTATGTGTCGGTTCAAAGGAGATATACAGGCACTGAATTTTATTGGGATGGAAAACTTTTAACACTGCAAGTAATAAATCAGAGGGGATGCGCCCTTAAGTTGTCACTAGTCACAAATGGAATGTTCTGAAATTCCAGGGCTATTTTTCTGGCTCACTCAGGCTTGTCGGACTGCAAAAGCTGCTCACGCCTTTCAGTGCCATGTCTAATTAGGGTCACAGAGCTAAACCTGATCCATCAAGAGACCCGGTCCAGTTAAATATTCATAATAGCTCCACATTGAGGTCCTCTTCTTTTGAAGGACGAAACTGCAGCTCATTGGTTGAATTTCTCAACAAAGAGTGCCAAAGTGCAATGGAGACTAATTTTTATGGTCACCCTGTTAATGTGGCTAACTTGCTGATCAGTCTTTCTCATTTCAACATCACAGACTCAATACAGACTCAATGCGGGAGCTCAACCCGCCGGTGTGGTCAAATGTCCTCAGCCCATTTCCTGACCTGATCGGGGATTTTGCAGGGCAACTTCACGAAAAACGTTCAATTATTCTTATACCAGAGCACGTATAGAAATAAGTCATTGGAGGCCAATATAACAGAGAATAAAGTGGGGAGTGCGTAGGCATCAAATAAGGACTGCATCGGGCTGAGAATGCCCCACATGAGCCTCCCAATAACGTGAAGAACAGCAAATTGGCTGAGGCACCTCATGAGAGGAAGGGGACAACAATGGCCAAATTGGGTTCCCAAATCCAATCTGCACTTAACTTAGCTCATGTAGAGCACACAACAACTCGCACTTATGCAGCACTTTTCGAGCAAGACAAATGCCTCAAAGAATTCAACACGGCTGTGGATTAGGGCCTGGATCCATCCTTTCTCCAGTTCTTTTCCTTGAGTAAAACTTTAAATTAAACATGTGTTAAACACAACATTAAAAAAAAGGCTTGTGCTTCTGCCCAAATCCTGGAGAAACAGATTTGCGGCACGAAACAGCATTCATCTATTGCTTGTACCTCGTAGAATGACAACAGGATGTGGGACCCCATCACCTCACACATTCATGTGGCTTTGCAGAAGAAAGATTTTGATAATTTATTCCTTCAATAACCCTTCTCTGAGGAAAGAGCATGAATGAATTTGATGTTGGCTGGTTATACAATGGAAACTATTCTACACTTTCATCCACAAAATACAGTCAATTCACTTCCCAATATATTCTGTGAAGCGCTTTGAGACGTCTCAATGACGTGATAAGGTGGCTGTATCAAATGCAAAGATTATTTTTTAAATCATACTTTATTTTGGATCAACTACCTTTTAACTTTGTATCAAAGGATGTTTCCAAGCCCTGGTCGCCTTATCCTTTGCTCCCTTACTTTTCTAACCAATTGGGATGTTATACCACATGCTTTGCATGTGAAAAAAAAGCAGTCCAATCTTTTAGCACGGTCAGCCAGTGCCACAAACACCAACTGCACACAACAAATCAACTTCCAGGTAAAAATACAATTTAACTCTGCGGTGAGAGCGGTCATACCGGAACAGAGATGGATCACGCTGAATATTTCAAATACTTGCTCGACTCCTGCTAGTTTCAGTTTCAAAGCCGACCGAATTTTCACCGTCTGGTCTGGTATCGCACCCAAATCTTTTCCCAGCTCTGCTCTGCTTGGCACTATCACATTTCCTAATATTAGCAGCAGTCCACATTATCTTGGTTGTAAGTAATAACATGCCAACTGCTATTCGTCTGTCCAGTTGTATTTGGATAGATTCAACTTAAGCGCTCTGGGACTCTACCCTGCACGAGGGTCGCTAAACAAATGCAAGTTGTTGTCGTTGTATCTAACTTCGGACCTAGAGTACAAACCCTTTTAAAAGGCTCAGCATCGTAATGAACACATGCGAACGAACACTCGCATTTCTACAAATGGCTCAGTCTTCCTCTCCCTCCCACCGAGAGAACGGGGGGCTAAAATGTAAAAAAAAAAAGTCCATCGAGGCTGGGATTTCAATTTTCCAACCATCTGGCTAAAATCCCAACACTGTACCTAAGCAGACCTGATCCCATGCGACTATTATTTTTTCATATGGCAGACTCAACACTGCCTACACACCAGCAGCTAGTACACAAAGCAATAGGCCTTTACAGTGTAAAGAACGTGTACAATCTGTTGAACAGCATCACAATATCGAACTAATTTACACTTATTAAATTGTTCCCACAGTGCTTAAGCTATAGATATAATTAAGTCCAATTTAATGGTTGATATCTTTCTTTTTATATCTTTAAATGCTCCAAGACACAACCCTGCTTGATGGGCTGATATAAATGCAAGCTGTTTTTGTTTCTGTCATGCAGAATCACATCTCTTAATAATAATAATCCTTACATTTGATATAGCGCTTTATCACGTCATCAAGATGTCTCAAAGCGCTGCAAGGATAATACTGTAAAGTGAATTGACTGTATATATTTTGTGGACGAAACTCGGGAGCCAATTGCTCACAGCGGTGTTCCATAAATAGTTGTTTCCACTCTTTTCCACTTTAATGTAGCAATTCGCATGCCTGATCAAGAATAAAATAGTTTCAGCTTTGGACTGGACTTTGTTTAAAACACTGCACTTGGTGGTATTTTATTAAAACAAAGGGATATGATCAGGTTGGCTTGGTTTCAGAGCTCAAGGCCAAGCCAGGGAAAAATCGAACCCAAACTACTGTCTTTTTCAAGGGAAAGTCTTAACACAATAGTCAAGAGCCCAAGAGGCATTTTCCTAAACTGTACAATGCTGGTTTTTAGTACTTTAAGAGATTTAGTGCTTTGACAGTCCGCAGGCTCTGAATAAACAGATATTTCTCGCCTATTATTTTTCTAAAGCACCGCAGGAATAATGCAAACAAAAGTAAAGCCAGTCAACAATTGACCCCATATTGTTTTAAAGAAAAGGGGAGGGAAAGAAAGCAAAATGAAATGAAAGTCTTGAGTATCTTTCTACATTCCCCTCTGTATATCTTCCACTCTAATCAGTCCCCCTCGGCCCCCATTTACATTAGGCTTGTGGGTTACAGACACACTACCTTGACCATGTTCTGTATTACCTTCACAGTCACTACAGTAAATCTTTGCTCAGACTCTCTCCTATTCCCCCCTCAAAAAAAACCTGGTCAACTTAAATTTAAGATACTTATCCTTTTCAACCAACATGAGTGAGGGAGAATGTCTGGATTGTTAGTTTGGCATATTTTAAAAAAAATAGGGAATGGGTGTGTTGCTCTTAATTAATGAAGTCTAACATTCAATGTGCTTTAATTAATGCTGCCTAAACATTTGTGCTGTGCTAATGAAATGATCTCAAACACATTGTGGGACTTTTAAAATAATTGTAAATCCTGTAATGTTGTGAAGAGAGACCTCCCCTCAGATCTGTGGGGAGGGAGTTGACTCCTGTGTGATGGCTTGGATCCTGCCTTAGGTGTTTTATGAATGATGACAGATGATGCCTCACTGTCAGGCTGCAAGACATGTGGGTCTGGAGCCAGACTGAGGGGGCGGGCAATTACACCAACACTTCTCCTTTTCATCCAGGTCACTGAGGCATTGCAGCTAAACTATTCTCTACACAGGAAAGGTGTGTGAAAGGAACAATTCATTCCCATGTTGCTCTCCTACTTCTCCCACTACTCCCCCGTCTCTAAACTGTGGATGTGCGTACAAAGGAGAGAGGACGGTTCCTCATGCTCCGAGTTTACATCAACTGCTGAACATTGAGCAAGCTCTGCTCCTAGCAATCTGTCAGGGTGCAGCATCAAGGCACGCCTGGAAGCTAAATGATGCCTTCCAGCTGTCTGCCCGGAAATGGTGCAGAGACAGACAGAAGAGTTTCAACGCAGAACTCTGCCTACGTATCCATGACAGTTTGATTCAGAAATGAGTAGATCAGACAAAAAATAAATCAGCTGATTTACCCAGATGCTTGGTTTTGTACGAAAGCAGTTAGCAAACAATGTCTTGACTTCAATGTGTTTTTCCTCACATCCACTATCATTTCCCGACTGACAGGTGGGCAAGCAACCAAGCCCACAACAGTCTCAATCCCAGAGAACTTCAGAGACATACAGGAGAAAGGCACAGGAACCTGCATTTAAGCCCCCAGAACATTAGATATATTGAGGACTCCATTCCAAACAGCAAGTCACAAGATACAAGACCTCACGGTTCCAGTCCCAAAGATACCAGTGATGGCAACCCTTGTACAAAACACAAAATACTGCAGATGCTGGAATCTGAAACAAAAACAGAGAAAGCTGGGAAAACTCAGCAGGTCAGGCAGGATCTATGGAGAAAGGAAAGTGAGTCAACGTTTTGGGTCCACGACCCTTCGCCAGAACCACAATCCTTGTATTTGATACAGCACCTAAAATGTCTAAACACCTTCATGGAGAATTGCTCTCAAATAGTTATTACGTTTGGAGTCAAACACAGCAGCAAACAACACACAGCAATACCCCACAAAAAGCCATGAAGCAAATGTCTCATTGAACTTCAGTCTCTTTTTGATTAACACCGTGATCATAGGATTCTTATTATCCACATGAATTGCCGGATGTGACTTT